ATCCCTCTGCACTGACGGCTCTTCACATAAAGCGGTAACAGGAAGCTCCCCCTCTGCCGCAATCACCTGCCTTTCACGATATCAACCATACCACGCCTTCCCCCAATCCTACTAGTCTCGGCGACTTCCCTTGCTGTTCGCCCTTCCTGCTACGGAGGTTCTGGAATAGGCGCAAAAACAGACTGGCAGGAGCCCTACAACGAACACATCCTTCCACAAGCCACCACGCCCGAGCTCACTCGTCCTTGTCGCCCTGCATGGAGGAGAGGGCATCTCCCACAGGCAAGTGCAGCTGCGGTTGACTGCTGAAGTCGAGCAGTAGGCTCTCAGCATTCATCTCCTGATGAGGTTATCAGGGAGGTCGGACAAGTAGGCACCCTTCTTATTACGACTGCCTCTGTATTGGCCACCACTCCAGAGCCCTTAATCGTGAGGGCCAGATACACTCGTCCATCCTTGGCCTAAAAACAGTAGTAAAGAGCTCCCCGCCAATCCCCAACATGGACATGAACAGACCATTCCAACTAGCATCTCACCAAGCTGCCTGCTGTCGCTGATGACGACCTTCGACTCGTCGTCCTCTCTGCCATTGGTTTGTCTACTATCCGCAAATACTGGACGTTCACCTCCACCGCGGTGATGTTAGAGGGGAACATAGCGGTAAAATCAACACATGCACTATCAAACTACCACCTGCCTCCGTAAAGGAATCGTCCATCCCCCCATTTTCCTCAAGCGAGAAGGACTCATGCAGAAACTGATTATATCAGAAACATGGTGAGGTCAGTGACCCGATCATCCCATAGTCACAGACGCCACACCATCAGTGTAGAGCTCCATGCCGGCCTCTCGAGTGATCCACACCCGTCGACAGTCTGTAGCCGCCGCCGGACCCCCTTGGCCATAGCGAACCCGAGACACACAGTGCTGGACCTCAGTGACTATCGTTTTCGGCGTAGGCGGGCTCTTAGCAAACCCCGGTTTCGCTCGCATGACCAGGGCTTGCAGAGCTCTCACAAGCTCCAGGTCGCCCTTGTCTATCAAGTGTGGGAGGTATACAGCCACAGCAGTCATCAGCGGACTCGTCGGGTGTGCCTGAAGATACTACAGGCAAGAACCCCTTCTCGAACGTACCGCGATGAAGCCCTTCCGCATGCTCTCCAACCAAGGCCTTCCACTGCCGAGGTGCATCCTCACGAAGTACTCCATAGCCCCCGACAAAGCGATAGGTGTGATATTCTTGGCCTCAACGAGCCGGTCCAAACCAGGCATGTCTCCACTATCTACCTCCTGAGGTGTTCAATCATACCCTCCACACCCTGTACTGCCTCCTACCATGGCCAGGTCCAGGGCGGATAACGCATGATAGACCAAGGCTGCCGCCACCGGGTCTCGGGTCGCCGACACGGCTGACTTGATGAAGTCAACCTGAGGAGGGAGAAGCATCTCCCTTGAGGGAGATAGTGCATCCTTCTCCTACCTTCCGGTATCCCACATGTCGGAGGGCACTGACCACGGCCCCTAGGACAACCTCAGAGGCAGATTCTAGTTGGAGGGTGCCCAGCAGCAGGTCGAATAGTACAGCCTGCAATATGAAGAAGCATCGAACATGCAAGTGTTCCTGTACTGCAATGAGATAAGCTACTACTGGCTAGATACCACAGAGGTAATCATGAGCCAACACCCCCAGAATAGCGACTAGCCCCAGTTACGTCCGTCTTGCCTG